GGAGAGAGGAGAGAGATATGTGTAGCCGATCCATGGACCCAGATAATAGTATGTAAAAGGTTTGGGAAAGGCAGGTGCAGGAAGGACGGGTCAATTGGAAAAACATACAAGTAACAAGAAAAACAAACAAAGGAGACATCTGTAATACTTTCAACAGTAAAGATAAATTTAAAAAATGAAATATAAAAAAAATTATGCTCCAAAAGAAAAAAAAGAAATATATTTTTGATTCTCATCCTTGTCAACTCCTTTTTTTGCATAACTTGGTCTATCAAAATCTTTTGGTTATTTTCATGATTTCAAATACTTCTGTAATTAAAACTATTATTCACAAAATGATGATGTATCAAATCCACAAGTTTAGGTAGAGGTGGAGGCACTTAATAAATACAATTTTAGGCTGAATGGGGTTAGTTTGGTTCCCTTCAGAAATTGCTTATTTTGTTCCCATTGAGCATAAAACAGGCACTTAAAATGTTTATTTTTAAACATGAAAAAAATATTAGGGTCAATTAATAATGATTTACTGCTTTAAAGTAGAATAATGATATTGTCTGAGAATGCTACTGCGTTGAAATTTTGCCTACACAGGATTTAATTTTTGTGCAATTGCTGATTTACAAACATATATTGGTCAAGTTTTTTATGTATGCAAGTAGCAACAATTTTCTCTGCTATTCCCATGGAAATTACTGAGGCTAGTTGGAAGTGCAATGACAACCTGGGGCTTCCAAGAGTCAGTAGGGCATGAGAACAAGATAAGGAAGGTGCTATGAAAAGCAGAAGTATCCCAAGGGTGTGTAATCAGGGAAGATAGCCTGAAGGTCTATACTCCTGACAAAGTTTCACCTTTCTTTCAGCCTAAAATGTTTCAAGCCCTTCTATTTTATTTAAAGCTAGAATTACAATTAGAGATGTCTGTTAACCAGGGTCTTTTTTAAGGTATTATTCTAAATGTTGAATCTATGTTTCCTAGTTTCAAACAGTCATAAACCATTGAACACTTTCAAATGGATCCCTTTCTTTTTAAGTCTTAGCTCAAATAGGCCAACCTCAAGATGCCTTAGAGGGCTAATGGTTTATTTAGAGCATAAAGCTCTTTTAGGACTGAGGCAAGCTTAGGTAGCTCTTCTCAGGATGTTAATCCAGGCAACATAAGGCTAAAGCATTGAGCATATGAATATGTTTTCCCATGTTGGCTTTGGGTCCAAGAAATGGAAGGAATTTCTCCACCTCTCCCTCCTTCCAGCATTGCTCAGGACTCTCCCCCATAATCCAAAACCCAAATCACACAGTAACATTCAATGTTATCTTGTACTATTTTGAATAAATGCTAAACCAAGGTTGTAATCATATTAACATAATTACTAATGGCATGGATTCACCAGATATGAGAGCAGTAGGGAGATTGCTAAATTTTCTCCTCAGATGTCCTGTCTTTGTGTTTCCTTTCCTGTGGAGTACTAGATAGAGCACAAAAAACACAGAAACTGAAGACTTAAAGTGGGATACATGTGCCTTAATTCATGACTCAACAGATGTAGGCTGGAGGGTAATCTATACCTAACAAATGTGGGTGCATTGTAGAAATCAAATTTATTTTCTCCTGACAATTACATATATACATAAATAATTTAATATACATATTATAAATATTCCTACAACAATATTTACTGAAGATCTAAAATATT